ATCACTTTATTAGTTAAAAAAGTGTACATTACATGTAGAAAGCTAGCTACACTTGCTTAGTCATCATCTTTGCTAGCAAGGCTAGTTCTTTGACTAAATTGTCATTCCCAGCACAGTCATTACCAGCACATTACAGCTTTTGCTGGTAATAACAGGTTGGGGTGGTGATGACGGCAGATACACACAGTTCCTGTTTGGTCTTCCATAATCAGATTAAACTATGTTTTGATGTTTAAACCAATTAATAGCTGGTGTTTTTTTTTTTTTTTTGGTCTGAAGTCACTGAGGCTCTTAAATTACAATAGGTTATGATCAGTGATTTGTCATCACTGCAACAAACTGTCATTACCAGAACTGCAATGTCATCACCATCACCATTACCATACATATTTTTGCCAATAAATGATGTATAAATTACAAAAACATCCTACAATTATATATTTCTGACAAAGTTGGACAGTCTAAATTATCACTGTATTAAAAAAGCTTTGATATATGGCATTCACTTAAAATAAGCTTATTCCAAGCCAGGGTAGATTGATGAATCAGAAATGTAGATACTTAAGTGACTATAATTCATCTTGCAAGTAAAAATCAACAATCCCATTAAGTTCAAGATAAAATAGATTCCATGTGAAACCACAAAATGTTTTAAAAGCACTGATTTATCATTTAAGTTTTATTTTTTTACATACATTCGATGATGTGATGGTAATGACACATTACTTGACATAGTTTAAAAAAATGGCAAAAAATCATAAATTCCCTTATCTTATGGTCTCAACCAAGCTCATAGCATTGTACCTGACTTAAGGACTGATAATTTGATGTATACCAATTAGTCAAATTTGTAATTTTAATTTTCAAAATTGCAGCAACCCAATTTGGCCCTTAATCTGAGAAATGCCCATATATCTCTTCATGTATTCAAAAGAAGACCCTATAGACCTTATTCGCAAACACCGGAAGTAGCTAACCGCGGCCATATTGTTGACATGACATCTGTCCTGCTGCCCCTAACCGCACGCAGATTTGAGTTGAGGGGAGCAGTAGCCTGGCTTCATCTCGTCGGTATCAAGAGAAGATAATGCAATTATTTGATGTGGGTCCACACCAATGAAGCTTAAGTAAAGATCCGTCCTTATTGCCACTTTGCCAGCCGTAACTTATCCGGATATTTATAACGATCTCGTTCATACAGTATCCGTATACAAACTACAATGCACCTCAACAAGGCAACATAATGAACGACACTCGTCTCATTCGTGGAAGTGGAAAAACAAGTTCTTTGTGACATGCAAGATTTGTTGTATTAAAATGTAAATGCAAAAGAAAAGGCATGAGAGTAAGTTTTTGTCAATTTTAAGTTTTCATTTAAAATGTTTGCGATTTTAATATAAGTAAGTTAAGTTACATGGTTACATATTTGACCACTTGCTTGAGCAACTTAATATATAGAAGTAATGCATGGAATAATTGGCTTACGTTGTTGAAATAGTGAGTATGTTTTAAAATAAAAATAGTGAGTACCAGGGTGTTTGTGGTAACGTTACAGCCGCGGATCAGTTACGCACTGCAAACGCAGCATATAAAGCACTATAGTGCGTCCTGCTTCTGTACCGTATACGCACCGCACATGCATTGCACACGGATTATGTGTGAAACCTGTGGTAAAATGATGGGAACAGACTTTTCTATGGGGAGTTGGCTGAAAGTTTAGCCTATTTATCCTAGCTAGCCTCTCTTGCGCTGGCTCAACTCTGTCTCCTTCCCTTCACGTTTTCTGACAGTCGGTAACTTATCGCCAGTGATGTAGTGGTGCCTGGAGAAGTGGGTATACTCTTAATTTATGCCCCCAATATTTTTTTTAAGCATCCCAGCAAAGGATGAACGCTCTGTGTTATAAACAGTGACATGTAAGACTAGTCTTGCATTAGTATTGAATATGCAAGACTAGAATATAGAATACAGTAGAACATATAGAATCACTAGTATGCATATTAGGGCCGTACATAGGGTTTTTTAAATAGCCAGGTCCCCTAAAATATATTGCTAGGGGGGTTCGGGGGCATGCCCCCCGAGAAATTTTTGATTTTCCTGATCTCGACATGAGCATTTTAAGGTGTTTTGATGGCCAAAAAATGGACAACAGTAAAATCATTTGTATTAAAATTATTTGATCAGATTCTTAAACATGACAATCAGTTCCAGTTTCAGCTACTTTTTCTTTCCTAAATTAATCAATGTTTTTGGACTAATCTGTTCATTTAATTAATGGTTCAATTGCTCACTCATAAAGACAGTCACTTGTCGCCGCCTTCTGGCTTAATGATGCAAGTTGCGCAAACACAGACAAGCGGAGTGATACAAACAGTGAAAAGTCGAACACATTCGAGGAAACGTTATACAAATATATTTATACAATAATAATGGCAGTATATTTAATAGGGTGCTTGTTTTGTTAAATTGAGCTTATAATTTCCACTGTCTTTGATCAAACTGATTATTTCTGTCGGTCATTTAAAATTTCTATCGAAAACCAGCCGTATATTGTTGGTTAATATTGTATATTTTAGCTACTTGCATCCTATCTCGCACTGTATGATCGTTAACTGAAGTGAAGCGACGCGTTGGGATTAGCGCTCGGCTTGCGCTTATGTGAACTAAAAATCCTGCATGCTTTGATTGCTCTCAAACATTTTGACATTGACGAGCGGGTGTTTGAGTGCTGAAGCAGATCAGATGAGGTCCGTTATCGTCGCAATGGGAGAATCATTGCAGCAACAAATTAGAGTTAATATTAGGGGTACGACCCTGACTGGGTGTTTTTTTTATTCACGAGATTGGATTAGCAACTAAATGATGCGCATCAGAGGGGATTTAGAAGTGGGTATACGCAATGCCGACTGAAAAAGAAGTGGGTATACGCCGTATACCTGCGTATACCCTGCACTACACCACTGCTTATCGCATAAAAACTAACTCCGGGGTTCTTGCTGTTGTTAGAACAGCCGTGTATTACACAACACACCATCGCGCTGTTTAAAAAAAAAAAAAAACAGTGATAATACCATGGATAATACCGACGCTGCCTCGCTTGTCAATTGACAGACTGACAGTTGCCGTGGTTTCTATGTCAACAATATGGCCGCCGCAAACATTGATGACGCAGATCGAATAACATCTATAATTAGGCTGGAATTATATAATAAGGGAGACATGTAGAAAAACTGTAACTGTAACTGTAATCAAGTAAAGGTGAATATATTGTTGATCCATATATTATATGTATTATCATTGTGCATTATTATTATTATTATAGAAGTGGATTTGGGAAACAGTGAGGAGATGTGATTTACTGAATGCGGCCCCTTTAAGAAATATGACACCGCGCGCACTGAGCATGCGCAGAAGAGAGAAGTGCGAGAGCCTCTCTATAGTTTTGTTTTCTTTCTTCTCTTTCTTTTTGTTGTTTCTTTTGGCGCTATTATGAATGTAACAGTCGAACATGTTGTGATCCCCTGTAAGTGTATGTTATATTAATGTTCAAATATGGAAGCGCGAGAGACGAGAAGAGCGCTGAAACTTTAACCATTCGAAGCTGTAACGTTAAGTGACGCTATTCGTGAATGAAGGACAAATGTGGTATGTTTTCTTCGGATGTCGTATATTTCCAGTCTGCAGGTCAGAGATGTGCTATTTATCATGTAAGAATTGATGTTTGTGTTGTCTAAATGTACATTGTACAAACTGTAACGTACAGAGAATTAAATATAGTCATTATTTTGATCAGCCACTATTCAGTACATATTGTATGATTTCTGTTATCTTTGTTAGATTCCTCTTTAATTCACATATTAATTGAAGAATTTAACTTGTTTCATCCTTATAAAATCTGGAGTCACATAAAAACGAACTACCTTCATATAGAGCCATTTTAAATGCTACTACCATATCAAAATGATCTTTCTAAAATCCAGTACATATGGTCATTTAATTTAAAGGGACACTATGCAGTTTTTTTTTAGCTTAACTGAACAGCTTCGGAGTTATTGAAATGGTTATATGACTTCTTTCAGATTGAATGGTGGCCGTCAAAAAAATGTGTCCCTGCTTGATATACTGTACAACCAATTATAAACAATCGGTTTTGATGAGGAAAAAAAACTATACTTCTTAGAGCGGATTAGAACCCAAAACCTCTGACACGCTTGGCAAAAGTTCTGCCACTGGACCATTAAAGTACATGGGGATAACTCGGATCTATGTATTTAATCACGTGAAAATTCTCACCACTAACAACATATTTACGATAAATTAAACACAATGTACTATTGTATACTATGCAACGCGTCACGCCATGTCACGGTCTGCGTGAGTGGTATTTACAACAGTAACGTTAAATACAAGTACTCCACAACGACTCTAGGGGTCGCTGTTTGACAAAAACGGAATTCCTGCATAGTGTGCCTTTAAAACGACTCTAGGGGTCGCTGTTTGACAAAAACGGAATTCCTGCATAGTGTGCCTTTAAGAAGTGTAGTTATTACAGTATTTCAGTATAATCTCAGTAACCTCGAATTTGGCAGATCTGGTGTCCCCCACAATAGTTCACCAAATAAGAAAGCTTTAGTTCAACTGTTAATGGCAATATAAATTAAATTAAATAACTAGCAATATATGATCAATTATTCTGGAAAACATTTAAATTATAATAATCGTGTATAGTACTTGTTATCCACATTTTGATGGTCAAGTGTTAGATTATTTCCTTTTGTGCCATCATTGTCAGTCCCTTAAATCGATGGTTGATTTCTGTCGTCTAATGTTAGATTTCTGATTAGTTGAGATATTAATTGAATAATATAACTTATGCCCTGTTTTATCCTTATTAAATCCTGGTTTACATTAAAAAAATCAACCTACAGTTATTTTATATGCTACTAATATGTAACCATCAAAATGCTCTATATTTGAAGTAAATCAAAGACACCATATGTGTTTACTGTTAAAGTATTCCAGGATAAATTCAATAACTTATCTTTGTTTTTTCCAGATCTGGTCCTGTGGGCGTCAGTATCACACAGTGATCACAGTTCACACCTGCAGTGAAGCCCCTCCCACAACAATTCACCAATAAATACTGGGAATATTCCCATCATCCTACAAGAGAAGGACAAACTCCAGGAGTAGCAGCTGAAATCTGTGTGACTGTTAAAGATGGACTTTATTAAAGAGGAGATGGAGTTTATTAAAGAGGAGATTGAAGACATGAGTGATCCAGAACCATCCAGAATAAAACAAGAAGATACTGAGGAACAAATAGGTTGGTGTCCATTCTTGATTCTTCATTGTTGACTGCTTTGGTAGCTCTGAAAATATGGAAGACAAATGAGAGAGAAATGCATCTAAATTATCATAACCCAGTTTTAATCGCATTAACAGTGAATAAGTGATTGACAGAACCGAACTTTGCACATTAAAGATACTTTATACAGACGGGTGTCTTGTTTTCTGCTTGCTAAGTGTTTTTAATTCTCACATTTAACCTCATTGTACTGATTCTAACTGATTAATATGTTTATTTTAGACCAGATGGAAGTGAAGGAGCAAAGACAGAAACTAAATGATGTAAAGAAACACTGCGACTACAAAACTCAAGGAACAAAAGCCAAAAAGCTGCACTCCTGCTCTCAGTGTGGAAAGAGTTTTTCTAAACCATCAGGTCTCAGTGTTCATCTGCTCCATCACTCTGGAGAAAAACCATTCAACTGTGATCAGTGTGGTAAATATTTTATTTCGTCGTCAAATCTAAAACGACACATGAGAGTTCATTCAGATGAGAGGCCTTATGTGTGTTCTCTCTGTGGAAAGAGTTTTCCACGGCTGACCAGTTTTAAACATCACCAGAAAACACATGATGGAGTGAGAGATCATGTGTGTTGTGACTGTGGGAAGAGCTTTACTAGAGCTGGTGATCTGAAACTGCACCAAAGAATTCATACTGGAGAAAAACCTTACAAGTGCTCAATTTGTGACAAGAGCTTTGCTCGGTCCGGACACCTGAAAGAACATGGGCGAGTTCATACTAGAGAGAGGCCATACTACTGTACTCAGTGTGAGAAGACTTTCAAAGATGCAAAAAATTTAAAATATCATCTGCGCGTTCACTCTGGAGAAAAGCCATTTAACTGTGATCAGTGTGGTAAAAAGTTCATTTCGTCAAGACTTCTGAAAAGTCACATGATCGTTCATTCAGATGAGAGGCCTTATGTGTGTTCTCTCTGTGGAAAGAGTTTTTCACGACTGAACTGTTTTAAACTGCACCAGAAAACACATAATGAAGTGAGAGATCATGTGTGTTGTGACTGTGGGAAGAGCTTTATTAAAGCTGACTATCTGAAACGGCACCAAAGAACTCATACTGGAGAAAAACCTCACAAGTGCTCATATTGTGACAAGAGTTTTGCTTTGTCTGGAAACCTGAAAGTACATGAGCGACTTCATACTGGAGAGAAGCCGCACCACTGTACTCAGTGTGAGAAGACTTTTAAACATTTAGCAAGCCTTCACATACATATGAAAAAATGTTTCAAGTGAGCAACATTTGTTTTCATGTCAAATACAATAAAGTACATTGAGATAAAATATGGAGTTTTTCATAAAAGCACTATATCATATTGATTAATTTGAGTAATTTGATGAAAAGCTTGGTTAACTAGACAGATTTAATGGGTTAGTTCAGCCAAAAATGAAAATTCTGTCATTAATTACTGACCCTCATGATCTTCCAAACCTGTAAGATAAAACACAAATGAAGATCTTTTTTGATGAAATCTGAGAGCCTAATTTCAATCTGTTAATAAAGGCCTTCTGAAGCGAAGCGATGCGTCTGTGTAAGAAAAATATCCATATTTAAAGCTGCAGTCCGGCGTTTTTCCTCTTTGTCGCCATCTCTGTTCGAAATCTGCAATTGCAGTCATTCGCGGAATTATCAACTTTACGAGAGTTGTACTTCAACAACACCCTCGACACGGCACAGCGCGGATGAACACAATGTTTGAGGAGACTGTGAGGCTGTCAGTCACTGCGTCGGCGTGGATACTGGCATTCAGAATCACAGATTATTCTTTTTGGAAGAATGACCAACATTAAGAATTTTCACCGGAAAATGTCATCTGAACTAGTAAGAAACATCCACTGTTGTCCTGGTTCTGACATTGCAGTAAATCACGCTGAATAAATCTAACATTTGCTTATAAGTTATCATACCACGCAAAACCGTGCAAATTATACTTTGTTCTCAAATTGTTAATGTAAACAACGTCAGCATTGCGTGACTACATGTAATGTCCTTCCGATATTATCCTTGTTTTCGCATGGGCCGGTTGCAGTCTCTTTTTTTCTGTAGCCACTCCGAAGTCTGAACGAAGTCTTTTGCATTTTACAGCGGGTGAATCTGTTGTCACTGGTGATTGACGTTTGAACCTTTCTGGATCCGCCATCAAATTGATAAGTTTAATTATATCAAGTGCTGTGAGAAAAGTCTATAAATCTCCACCTCCAGTATCCTCACACTCAATATAGCCTACTAGCCGAGACTCTTCTTTATGTGTACAGATGTGACGTAATGACGCAAAGACATGCTCGAATCTCCCGCAGAAATCCACCAGTACCACTGGAGTTAAAAACATTATTACAAGCTTACCGCTTTGAATCGAGCTGAGGCAAGCAGATAGTTTTGAACACTGGCTGGTTATGTATTTTCTCAAATATGTATTTTGGATAATTTTTAACCCAAAAAAAGCTACGGACTGCAGCTTTAAAGTAACACTATGTAGTTTTTCAACCTTCATAATATATTTCCAAGACCCTTGTGATGGTACATCGACTTAAAATAAGTTAAATGACACATCTGCCATAGCCTGACGTGGTCTGTATCGCTTTTACTGGCACTATGTAATTTCGGGTTTCGGGTAGGAACCCGTGCACAAAAAGAACTACAAAATTCGACTGCTTTACGGCATACGTCACTTCCCCCACCACTTCCTCAAATTGTCTGTGGCCATTGCAGACATCCCAAGTCTCCCGGGAGTCTCCTGCGTCTCCCTGATGCCCGCAAATTAGTTCAGATCTGCCGGAATCTAGAGCACGCATGCGAGACAGAACATACTGCGCGCATAACATACATAGCGCGAGCACGGCAGAGAGAGAGAGAGCGAGAGACCTTGCGAGTGTGCCTCACGAAAGCTAGTCAACCCGGCATACATAGCGCGAGCACGGCAGAGAGAGAGAGAGTGAGAGACCTTGCGAGTGTGCCTCACGAAAGCTAGTCAACCCGCCACCAGCCGCCGCCCGCCGCCCCCCGACCCCTGGGATGTCTGCCATTGTTGATTCCAAAGCCGGTGCTGGATAAACAGCGAGCGTGCGCGTGCGACAGTCGGCTGCGGAAGGCTAAATTATTTACGACAGCAGTAATGGACAATTCTGCTTCCAACCTGTAGGGCGACCGCTGAGGAAAAATCACATGGTGTTGCTTTAACACTTTATAAAGTAAGATAACCAGCTTCCGGCCAAATGAACATATGGATTCCACAACTTAAACAAGTTGTGGTTTTACACTACAAGTGTAAAGCGCAACTTATGCGAGTAATGCGACATACTGCTGGTATTTACGCTACGCCATGACGCACGATGCTACTTCTGAGCGTAAGTTGCGTAAGTTGCGTAAGTTGCACATCCTGCGTATGGCCGTTTGGCCTGAAGCTAGAATTTTACTTGCTTACATGTTAATTATGAATATTTTCCTTACACATACTCATCACTTTGCTTCAGAAGGCCTTTATTAACCCCCGGGAGCCGTGTGGAGCACTTTTATTATGGATAGATGCAATTTTATAGATTTCAAAACAGAAACACCCATTCATTGCCATTATAACTCTGATTGTATTCGTCTGAAAGAAGAATGTCATATAAACTTAGGATGACTTGAGGGTGAGTAAATCATGGGCTAATTTAATTTTTTGGATAAACTATTCCTTTAAGGGTGCTTTCACACTGGCAGTAAGCTCGGGCTCGGACCGCAGCAAACGAGAAAGCACCCTTATGGCTCGTTTCCACCGAGCGTTGCGGTACAGTACGGTACGCAATTATTTCCGTTTCCACTTTCAAAAGTTGTGAATGGTACCAAAGTGCCGAATCGTACCATACCACTGTTTCGGTACCCTTCCGTTGGCGTACCTAGCAAAGTGGTATGGTATTAAAGGGTGGAGCTAGACTCACAGCAAAATGTTGATTGGTTGACAGAGTATCGTCAAATGCGTACTCTACTGTACCGTTCCTTACCACTCGGTGGAAACAAGCCATAAGTGGGTATGAATTACCTCATTCTGTGTCTCTCTAGACAGTGTTCCACAGCAGCATCTCTACTAATAGCGGAAGTGTACGTTTATCTGTTTCAAGAACAGCGCCGATATTACTTCGCTAGTGAGAAATGTCATGCAGCTTTTAAGTTGCTAAACTATTTTACTGATAATATCATCAGAGTAGGGCTGACAACACGTTTCTGTGTGAGTGTGTGTCAGGACTGTACTTTATGAGTGGGAGAGAGAGCATGCACCTTCCATACATAACAAAATGTCATTTATTTTGTGGCGAAAAACATGGAAATAATTTGTCTTTTTTTATCCTATTGTTTACTATGGGTGTGTTCACACTTGGCATGTTTGGTTCGATTAAAACAAACCCTGGTGGGATTGCTCAATTAGTGCGTTTCATTTGAACAAGTGTGAACACTGTCATCTGAACCCTGATGCCACCAAAGAAGCGGATCGAGTCGCTAAAGAGATGAGTCTCGGTCTGTTTTAAAACTAACTTTAGCGAATGAAATATGAATTTAAATGAAATATGAACGCAACACGAACCAAAGACATGTAAACGAACCAAAAACAGGAAGATGAGACCCTGAAAAAGACACGATGCCAATTCAGACCTGTTTTTTCTCATCATAGTTGCAATGTTGTTCAGTTCGGTACAGTTATCAGAACCGGTAATGTGCCGAATTTCATCCCCCGCCAACATTATTACCCCCCTAGTATTGGTAGGTTTAGGATTAGTTGTGGGGGAGGGGTTAGGATTAGGGGTGGTGTTAGGATTAGGCAATCAGGTACTGACTTCAATGAGGGAGGTAATAATTTGGCAGAGCATTGAATTTCGGGGCAACACCAGGACTCCTCGCAGCATATCAATTGTGTTTGTGACGGAGGGATTCCTGCTGTTGTTTTGACTCTTTCACACATTTTATAAGCTCTTAACAAGTAAGAGTAAGATTCAGCTGGTCAAAATACCATATTATGCAGGCTATGCAGATACAATACATTTACCGCAGTCCGCCGGATCCAGGCCGTATCCAGATCTGATGAAGGACCTGCGCCTGGACACGATGACAACGCAGTCCTGAAGTGTCAACTAGTCTCTCCCCTATGGTGGACCTGCGCCTGGACCCATCCTCAATGCATCCCTGAAGTGCCAGCCTCATCAGCCCTGTGAAGGCCTCCTCGACACGACACCCATCGGCACTGATCCCCTACAAACTCGTGTGATGACTCCTACCTCTAACCAGATGGAAATGGATAAATACTCTGAATGTTCTGATCTAATCTGACTTCTGACCTATAATGCTGCCCAAATCATAATCATACACTGTTCGTTCGTTGGCCAGAGGAGAACTGGCCCCCGACTAAGCCTGGTTTCTCCCAAGGTTTTTTTCTCCATTCTGTCTCCTGATGGAGTTTTGGTTCCTTGCCACTGTTGCCTTGGCTTTTGGCTTGCTTAGTTGGAGACATTTCATATTCAACAATATTATTGATCTGCCTTACTTAAGGACAATGACAAAACATTTTTTCTAGAAACAAACTTTGTTGTATTATTTTCATGTTATCACTGTGAAGCTGCTTTCATACAATCGGTATTGTAAAAAGCGCTATATAAATAAAGGTGACTTGACTTGATTTGACAACGAGCGCATTCAGCCCAGCACACAGACTAGTTTTTTGTAAGTACCATCTCAAAATTGGCAATACATCATAAAAGCCGACCAATCAGATTGTTAAAGTCTAACATGTATGTTAGACCCTATACCGACTATAAGCTACTGAAAGAGATGCTTCCAGATGTCATAGGTCCTCTTCTCAATATCATTAATTCATCTTTATTATTAAATGCAGCATCGCAAGCAATTGGAAAGAGTACTAGTAAAAATAAAGTTAAAATGGTACCATGGTGGAACAAAAAATGTTCTGAAGCCATCAGAAATAGAAATATAATGTTAAGAGAACTGAAAAAAAAAATCTTTCAATGTCGAATTTACTTGATTATAAGAGGGCTCAGGCAGTAGTGAGGAAAGTAATCAAAAGGGCAAAAAAGATATATTGGAGAGAATTCTGTTCAACTATTGGAAGAACAACACCACTAGATAAAGTTTGGGGAAGGATTAAAATAATGAGGGGAACCAAGCAAGATAAGGACTTTCCAGTGTTGAAAAAAGGGGAAGAAATAGCTTGTGAGAATATGGAAAAGGCAGTAGTGTTGATAAAGAACTTTGTTGAGATTCATAGTTCAGATAATTTGACAGAAGAAGGTAAAATCAG